ATCACAAGCGACAAGCATAGTGTATCAAGAAAGGTTAGATTAGAAAGAGAAAGAGAAAGAGACACTACCTTTTTCTCTCGTAGGATTTAGATCCAATCGTCTTATGGCTTGACTCTGGTTGAGGGTCTCTAGGCCTGCTCGAACTGCAGCGCACTCTGACGAGCTATTTTCTGTAGCCGGTAGTATAGCAAAGCCCATGCTCTTATAGCAGTATTGACATTTGACAGTTGTCCCGGCGTTTTAAAGTCGGAATAATCAAATAATAATCTGTTTTTGATACGCGCCCCGACCAGCAAAAACCTCGGCTTCGCCTCGGTTTTGCAAAATACACATTTGACGTATTAAATTTGCCAACTATATTTTACTTTTTATTATACTAGCATTACAGACGCGCGCTCCGCGCGCGCTATTTAACTGCACTTTTTACTTTTTACTATTAATTTACTATAATTATACATAAACCTCAATACATATAATAACTGTCAAAAGTCAATGCCATGACAGCCACTCACGAAGTTAGCGCAACGAGAGAACCATTCAGCGTCGCGGAAAAGAGGCAACAAAACTTCGAGAGATGCGAGTATCGATGTCATGCCTTTTTTTAGATAGGACTAGCACGCAGCGCGCGCTTCGCGCGCGCCATCTACGATTATTATAAATTCCATATAATTACAAAAAAATCCTCTTTACCTCACCCTCTCCCCACCTTCTCTCTCTTTTTCTTTCTCTCTCTCTTTCTACATCTCTATCTTTCTCTCACACTCTTCTTCTCTCTCTCTCATTCGTTCTTTAATCTTGTTCTATCTTCCTCATCCATCTCTCCTTTTTCCAGTCATCCACCAGCACTCTACGATATTCCTTCTGCCAACTCCCTTTCTTATCCCTTTCTGTCTAACTCCTGCATTTCTCCCACAAGTCTTCATCCCCCCTCTTCTGTATAGTCTACACATTATTTTATTTTTCTTTATCCAATATCTATCTTCCTATACCTCATTTTCCAACTTTTCTAAATTTTGCTACCCTCCTCTACCTACTTTCCCCCACCCCTTCTCTGAAAACTCCGGTTTACCCTCTCTCTTTACCTCCACATCTACTATATTTACCATTCCTAATCCTTTCCTATCTTTTATTCATTTGCCTCACCCTATCCCATTCCTCCAACTCTTCAAAACCTATCCCTCCCAACTTTCTTTGTTTTGCTTATTTATGCGGTTTCATTCTTCTGTCCTTAAAGAACTGACTTCATTCTGTTTTCTAACCTGATAGTTTCCTTTCCCTCTCTGCTCTTTCGTTTACATCTCTTAAGCACGTCTGTGCAATTACGCTTCCCCTACCTTCCTCCAATCTCCTCTCGAATCCCCCGCCCTTCCACTTGCCCTATTCCTCATTAATTCCCTCTGTACCTCTTCCGTCACTGAATACCCTGGTATCCTCCCTTCTACTCCTACCATCCTTCTCATGTATTTTTCATGTAACCTCTCTACCTCCTCTTTTTCCTTTTATCCCTGTATCTCCACCCCATAGCTTAATACTGCCCATATCAACTTGTCAAACAGCCAAATCTTTCTTTTCCAGTCTTTTCCAAATCTCCTTTTACCAATCCCCCGCACTTGTTCCGTTATACTTATTGCTTTCGCCACCCTATCCCTCACGTGTGTCTCCTGCCTTTTATTTTTTTGCATCACGTGTCCCAGATATTTAAATTCATCTACTTTATTTGCCTACCTTTCCACCATCAACTTGCACTACTCAATCTTCCTTTTCCCCTTTAAATCTGATCATCTTCATTTTCACATTTAATTCTAACCACTTCCGATCCATGTATCTTTCCTCTCAATCATACTCTTCATACTCCCTCCTTTTCCATTTCCTTTTCCAAATCTGCTATTACAAGATTAAACAATAGCGGGTTTAGGGGACACCGTTGTTTTTCCCTCGCTGTCCAAAATCCTCTTTCTACCTCCTACCCTATCTTCACCCTACTCTTCGTCTCCTCCACTCTTTCTGTAAATCTCTCTTTCCCTCATAGTCTCTATTAGCATCCTCCTGTCCACCAAATTTAACGGCTTGCAAGTTTACAAATTGTTACCAATTTCTCTCTTTTCTTCTACCTGTCTGTTTATTAAGTAGTTTAATATATTGATGTTATCGTACTCATCCCTTTTCTGAACCCCGTTTGATTCGGCGGAATTATACCCTTTCTCTCAACTTCTTCATTTAATCGATCTTCTAAAACTGATGTGTATTTTTTGTTCACAGACGGCATCACTGTCATCCCCTCTATAATTTCGCACCTCTCTTGTCCCCTTTTCCAACAATGGCATCACTAGCTCCTCTCCCCAATCTTCTGGCTAACCTTCTCTATCCCATACTCTACTATACAACCTAACTCCTATACCTAATCTTCTAACTCATCCTCATCATATTTCCATACTCCTACTGGTATTCCGTCAAAATCCACTGCCTTTCCATCTTTAATATTTTTCTTTATTCTCCTAATTTCTTCCTTGCCCAACTCCTTCTCCTCTCCTACACTTTCCTCTTGTCCTACTTCTCTTACCACTCTTCCCTCCATTCCACCCAACAGATCTCTAAAATATTTATTTCATTTCATTCATCTCTTCCATTTTAATATTTTTATTGATTCCCTTCTATTTTTTTTCTTTCCTTGTTTGCAATCCTTTACACCTTACTTTCTGTTTTTGCATTCCTCTACCTCTCTTTCCCGTTTCCTATTCTTCTCCCTTTTCTTTTCTTCGCATAACTTCTTGTATTCCTCCTTCTTTCTGTAGTTTATACTCTCCCTTATTCCATTTCTCCAATTCCTCAATGCTCTCCTAACTACCTTTGTCTTTTCAACATATTCCTCATACCAACACTTTCCCACTCCGTTTCCCCTTTTTTTCTTCTCTCCTTTTCAATGCCCCTCTTATTCTCACCCTCATTATCTCCATTTTTTCCTCCATCCTTTCTGTCACTCCTTTCACTTTCCTCAATTCTGCTTTAAACCTCTCTCTTCGTTCTTCATCCCAAGTTCCTCTATGTACTCGCATACTTTTTCTTATACCATTCCTTCCTCTGCCATTTTCTTCTTTCAACCATATCTCTAATGAATGATGGTCCGAGTCCACCTATTTCCAACTTCACTATATCCTCCCTTATCTCCTTATCAGGAGACGGGGTAGCGTCCCCCCCAAGTACATTTTTTTGCTACATGATGACCAGGAGACGTTATTGTATACTGACAGAGACGCTACAGTGTATCCTTTACCAGACGGATAGCATTTCTGTAGGAATAAATTATTATTTCTTTTAATTAAATAGATATTATCAATAAATGCCTATTTTGTGAAAATCTATATTTTTCTAGTCACAATGCCGTAATAACGATGTCCATAAGTGCATTTGATGCACAAGCATATAAAGTGCATGTTATTTTTTGTCCGATTTTATGTCATTCTGATCGTCGTTGTCTTCATCGCAAAATTTCAATCTTGTCCTCTATATTTTGTCGCTGTTGTTGTCGCCGTCTTTTTCTTTGGTTTTTTCGTAAAATTTCAATGTTGTCTGGTTTCTTTGGTCTGCTATATCGTCGTCGTCGTCTTCTTCTTCACAAAATTTCAATTTTGTCTCTCGTCTCTCTCACAACTTCTCGTCTGCTTCTCCGCTTTCTCGTTTCTCTCACAACTCTCTTGTGGTCGTCGTCGAAGAAGTGAGTATCTACGTGTTTGCCGTCGAGAAACTAAGTGTCTAGGAGTCGTCTACACTTTCGCTGTCGATGTAGTGATTGTCTACGTGTTCACCGTCGAACAATTAAGTGTTTTTGTATTATCTATAAGGTTTTCACCATCGAGGAAGTGAATGTCTACGTGGTCACAGTTGAGGAAGTGAGTGTGTTCGTATTAGTCGTCGAGAAACTAAGTGTTCAGGTGTCGTCTAGGTCTTCGCCGTCGAGGAAGTAAATGTCTACATGGTTGCCGTCAATAAAGTGAAGTTCGCCATCGAGGAACTCTAATGTTGTCTAGACCTTCGCTGTCGAGGAAGTGTAAGTGGTGTCGAATGGCAAAATGCAGAAGCAGTAAGTAGGCTTCTTCCTTAGAAACTTGGCAACCGTCGTATAATAGAACTCGAATCTGTAAAGGAAACTACCTATGCAACTTGATTTACTTATAATTATAAGAAATAATACATAAATATGTAAATATATGTATGTTATAATGTATAAATTGAAGAAAAGTTAAGCAAATAATTAAAAAGAATCTTTGCAATTTCTGAACATATCTTACTTACAAGTTTTAAGCAATATTTCTTAACATTCTCTTAAATTTTAAGAAAAAATTTGTAATTTGTCATTAAATATAAAATCACTTTAAATTTAAATTAAATTTAAATGCAGAAAAAATATTAATAGTTGTTCACAATGCGTCGGTGGGATGCTGGACTTTGCGATTGAGAGACTGAGCAAACTCCGAATTTTCTGAACAACGTACGTTTAATGGTTTACATATAAGCTTTACAAACAAAAGGAAAAGAAACAAAGAAAAGAGCACTACACAATAGAGTTACTATAATCAGAGTTAGGACAAATAAAGGGCTCCTCCTGATTGGCCAAGGGATCTGTCGCCATGTTTCAGACTATCGATGTTGTAGCATGTATGTGAATAGGTGAAGCGCCTTTTGAATGTAAGGACG